CTGAATGGACTGGCTGAGAGGATGAATAGAACTATTGAAGAGAAGGTCCGAAGTATGTTGTCCAATGCCGGATTGCCGAAATCATTCTGGGGAGAAGCCGTCAAAACAGCTGTTGACTTGATCAACCTCTCACCATCATGGCCACTTGAAGGAGAAATTCCAGAAGAAGTCTGGACAAGTCGGAAAGCGGCCTATAATCAATTGAAAGTGTTTGGATGCCGAGCTTTCGTGCATTTCCCTGAAGATGAAAGGGTTAAACTTGATGCAAAGACCAAAGAATGCATTTATCTTGGTTCGCCGATATGTGAGTTCGGGTTCCAACTTTAGGATCCAATCAATAAGAAGATAGTGAGAAGCCGAGATGTGATCTTTCATGAATATGAGAACATTCATGACATCTCGAAGCCCAAAGTTCGAGTTACTATCAGACGTGAAGAACCCAATCCTCCTGTCCGAGCTGAAGCAGGGGGAGAAAATCAAGAGAATGAAGAAATTGATGACCAGCAACAAGCTGAAGATGACCAAGACACTGAGGTCCGAGTTGATGATGAGATCCGGGATGAGAATGATGAACCGGGTCCTCAAGCTGAAGAACAACCGAGATATCCAACTTGAGAAAGAAGACCCTCTACGAGATACCCATCTGATGAATACACCGTTGTTGCTGAAGACGGTGAGCCTCAGAGTTATGATAAGGCTGTGACAAGCTTAGAGAAAGAAGAATGGGAAAAGGCAATGCAAGACGAGATGAAGTCTCTGCACGAGAATCAGACTTATGAGTTGACTGAGTTGCCAAAGGGAAGACGAGCTCTGAAGATTAAATGGGTCTACAAGATTAAGAATGAAGAGAACGAGCAAAAGCCGAGATACAAAGCCTGGATTGTAGTGAAAGGCTGCAATCAGAAGAAAGGAGTAGACTTTGAGGAGATTTTTTCTCCTGTGGTGAAAATGACCTCGGCCCGAAACGTGTTAGCCATGGCGGCTTCGATGGACCTCGAGGTAGAACAAATGGACGTGAAGACGACATTTCTTCACGGTGATTTAGAAGAAGAAATATATATGGAGCAACTTGAAGGATTCCAAGCTCCAGACCAAGAAGACTTGGTATGTTGATTGAAAAAGAGCCTCTATGTCTTGAAGCAAGCACCTCGGCAGTGGTACAAGAAATTTGAATCATTCATGACTGATCATAAGTTTGAGAAGACAGAAGTTGACCACTGCGTATTTGTGAAGAGGTATGAGGCCGAAGATTTTTTGATCTTGTTGTTATATGTTGACGACATGCTTATTGTAGGGAAAGACAAATCAAGGATAGTCGCCCTGAAAAAGGCGTTGAGCTCGTCCTTCGCAATGAAGGACCTCGGCCCTGCAAAGCAGATACTCGGAATCAAGATTATCCGAGATAGACAGAAGAAGCTACTGTGGCCGAGTCAAGAAAAATATATTGAGAAGATTCTGAAGAGATTCAGCATGGACAAAGCCAAAACAGTAAGCACCCCCCTTGCTGGACACATAAAGCTGAACCAGAAGCAATGTCCGAGATCTGATGAAGACAAAGATGAGATGATGAAGGTCCCATACCAATCCGTCGTCGGAAGCTTGATGTATGCAATGGTTTGCATTAGACCCGACTTGGCGTATGCTGTTGGAATGGTAAGCCGGTATTTGTCAAACCCCGGCAAAGAGCACTGGGAAGCAGTGAAGTGGATCTTCAAGTACCTCCGAGGTACGACCGACTTATGTCTCCGATTTGGAGAAGGTAAAGCCGAGTTGCAAGGCTACTCTGATTCTGATTTAGGGGGAGACACCGACTCGAGGAAATCGACGACGAGATACATGATGAGATTTGCCGGAGGAGCTGTCTCTTGGCAATCAAGACTTCAGAAATGTGTTACAATCGACAACTGAGGCTGAGTACATTTCCGCTACTGAGGCAATCAAAGAGATGTTGTGGATGAAGAAGTTCCTCATGGAACTCGGCCATGATCAAGACAAGTACGAGCTGGGTTGTGACAATCAAAGCGCAATCCATCTTGCAAAGAATTCAACCTATCACTCCCGCACTAAGCATATTGATGTGAGGTATCACTGGATCCGGGATGTGGTGGAAGGTGGAGAGCTCAAACTCGTCAAGGTGCACACTGACCAAAATTGGTTCGACATGATGACGAAGCCGGTTCCAGCAAGAAAATTTGAAGACTGCTGTGAAGGAGCCGGGTTGATGCTGAAGCCGACGCATTGAAGTCGGAGGGGGAGATTTGTTGGACTTCCTCCTTCAATGCTAAGCCCAAGCTCATTTGAGGGGTTTCCTAAAAATACTAACCCTAATTTTCACCTCCTCTATATATACTTATTAGTTGTGGGTGGATGCTAGGTCATATATGAGAGAATTTTATTTGACAGATATTTGAGAGAAATTTGTTTGAGCAAAGCTTTATGCTTTGCATTTGAGAGATCTCTAGAGAGTGTTTGAGTGAAACATCTCTAGGGTAGTTTGATTATCACCATTGTTTGAGAGGTTGAGTTAACCACCACATTAGTGTATTTGATTATTTGTAACCATTATTTTCATAGTGGATTTTTGATCTGGACTAGGTCCCGTGGGTTTTTACTTCTTCATTGAAGAAGGTTTTCCCACGTTAAATCTGGTTGTGTTTTTCTTCTTCTTTCTCTCCTATTTTGTGATTTTTCGTTTTGATATTTCCGCTGCGCTGCCTGTCCTGGTGAAATTCAGGCCGAGGTATAGCCGAGATCCGAGATTAGGATCTTGTTGATTGACTTCCGCACAAAGGCTGCTTAGCCGAGCTTGAGGGAACCGAGTTTTCCCAACATAACTATAATAATAAATATAAGAAAAAACATGTAATACTTAACTAAAATTACTAAGTGCTCAATCTTTGAGTGTCTCTTGATGTGAAATGTTATTGAGTGGCCGAGCTCTTAGCCAAAATAAGACGTTCCTTACAATACTACCATTATCATATGATCTCGAACTTCTTTGCGTCAGTTCACATCAAAATTTTCAGTTAAAATTACATATTCTATAACTATTCATTTGATATAAAAGGAATATAAATACAATCAATTAGTTCCATAATCTTGATCTAATACCATATTCATAACCAATATAAGCAGATCCATAAAACCAAAGTGTCTATAAGAAAATTGTTTGCCATAGTAATAATGTCTCCACAACTTTAGAAAAATAAAGTTCCCCAATACCAAAAGAAATAGAAGTTCGAAAATAGAAATAGACGAAAAAAAGTGAAACTAAGATAATGAAATTTACTTCCAATGTTACATTTCTTTTTCTTTCTCCTTCTCTTTTTTTTTTAATGTGCCTTTCTTTCTTTCCCCTTAAGGGATTTGTTTTAAATATTTTATTAAAATAATATTAATTTTCACTTGGAGCGATGCTTCCACATTTACACTTGTTTTTTTTAATTATATTATTTTATTATTATTTATTTTTTATTTTTTATTTTTTTTATTTTTTAAGATGTTACAATTAGTGTTCCAATTTGTAAACTTTGTCATCTACAAAATAGCCATACTCTATGTTGAATTAGTTTTGGTTATTATTAGGATAGTTTTTGTCAATTCTCACTGGATTTACTGATGTGGTGTTTAGCAAATTGACTGTAACAATAATTATTTGAAAATTTAATCTCTTCTTATGACCGATTAATATATATATATATATATATATATATATATATATATATATATATATGAGGAAGGTTATACTTACAACATTTTTTTTACAACCTCTTACAATCATATCTTAATACCATTGATTTTCGCCAATCAACGGTTATGATTTTCGCAAATTAAACTCATTAATTATTTATTAATTCACAATAAATGATAATCGTTGATTGACGGAAATCAACGGTGTTAAGATATGATTGTAAGAGATTGTAAAAGAAAAAATTGTAAGTATGGTACATTACATAGGGTATATTTAAATAAGTTAAAAAAATAGTCTTATAAATACATTTTTAACTTCTAAAAAAGCATTAACATCTTTTTATGTTTTTTAAAAAAAATAAAATACTATAATTTTAACTAGAAATATTTTTTTAAAATAAAAATGATTATCCTTTTAAAGGATAGTTATTTTAGTCAAAACTATTAATTTTTATTTAATATTAAAATTAAAAAAACTTTTTATTTCCTTCCACCATGATTTATGTTTCTCTTATTATAAATTAAAATAATTTTGATTAAACTGACATAATTCGATATCCTTTAAAATAATAAACACTAATATTTACCAAAAAGAAAAGAAAAAAGAATAAACACTAATTATTTTTTTAAATATAAGAAACAAAATAAAATGTTTTCTCTCTCTAAATTATCAGATGTCTTAAAAGCAATTAGAACTTAAAAGTTAGAAGTATTAAGAAAGTGTTGACACCTCTTTTTTTAAGCTAAAAATTATTTTTAAGTTAAAGTTTAAAAAAAAAATTAAAAATGAAGGTACAGGCTGTTTGATTATTATATACATTTTTTAACTTAAAAACTATTTATTTCTAAAAAAGTATATATTTCAAAAAAAAAACTGACACAATTTAAAAAAATATTTCTTAGAAGCTTTGACTTTTTTTATTATAAAAGAATGAAAATATTATATTTATTATCTATTTTTTTTACTATTTTTTATTATCAAATTTTTATCGTTGATTTTTATCAATTTAACAATTATAATTAGTGGAAATTAATAATTAATTAATAAATATAACTTCATAAATTATAACTGTTAGATTGATGAAAATTAACGATTAAAATTTAGTAATAAAAGATAATAAGAAAAAGAGATAATAAGTATAACTTCTTCTTAAAAAAAATTAAAAAATGTGATTAACCTAACTTCTATTTAAAAGAAGAGAAAGAAAAAACAAATCTCTCAAAACGTCCACAAAAATGGCCTTTCAGCGACGTTGTTTACTAAAACCTTTCTTTGTTGAGAAGTGTTAACTGCCCTTTCGGGCATTCTTGTTACTATGAACTTTCTTAGTTCATACGGGTCCAGCTGTTAGCCACGTGATAAGTCAATAGAGGCCAATTGAAGTTTGCGTTGTTCAAAGTTGAACTCCTAAACCCCAAAATCGAGAGACGCTGATTCTCTCTCTTCTTTTCTACCTTCCTTTATTGAAACAACAACGAAGATTTCGTCCTGTATATATATCTCTCTCTATAGATCGTATCCGCATTTCTAAAACTATCGGATCCAGGGTTGCTGTTATTCTGCTGAAGAAGAAAAGGTTAGTCATGGCGTCGCAGCAGCACCTCGAGAAGATGCAGCTACGCCAGAATTACCGGAATCTCTGGCACACCGATCTCTTGAGAACCATTCAGGTCGACGCTCCTTGTAAGGACACTCACACTCTCCTCTGCTCTCCGAATTTCGATTTTCCATTTCTATCTTATACTGACATCGTCCGGTGAAACTGAATTGTGTGCAGATTGTTGCTTCGCGGTGTGGTGGTATGTGATCTAGAACTCTCTGTTCCAGTTCTTTTGGATCCGATACTAATTTTTTGGACTCTATATTTTTTTTAACGCTTGCAAGAGAAATGGAATGTTTGGTTTTCATTTTCTGCTGTTTATCGTTTACATGCTTTAGATCTTGGATTTACATTGACTTGCATTGACTATTGAAGTATCTTGACATGTTGCTTAATGACATTTCCGCACTCTGTTCAAAATTGATCAGTGTTATTATCTGTTTAATATGTCGTTTTTAAGATCGGAGGAAGAGCAGGTAACGAACATGAATATTATAGGACAAAGATCATTTTACTTTGCTCAATGAAATTAAGTGGGATTCTTTTCTGAGTTTTTTCAGTTGGATTGGATCATAATATGTCTTCTGTGGATACCTTGACAATATAGGCTTTCCCTTGTATGCTGTAATTAAGGCTAAAAAAAGGCATGTTCCTTCAGATAAGATCCATATTCTGGCATGATTAGAGATCATGCCGTGTAAGTGTTCTGTACGAACATGCTTTGAGCTGGTTTTCGTTTCCAAGTATATGGTGGTACTTGTTTTAAAAGTTTACGTGTGATCAGCGTGAACAAACTTTCACAGCAATTGCTCTCACATTTAAGTGTTTGTTGATTCAATGACCTGATTCATGAATTGGTATTTTATATCTCCAATGCACTTTCAGTTAGATCACAATTTTAATGGACCTGCATTGAAGGCATAAATGTAATTCTACAATGTATTTTCAACAGAAGTAATCTAACGTTCTATTGTCTCATTATAGTGCGCCATGTGTATCATACCTGCTTCGCAAACGAGCTCTTTATGATGATATGTCAAGGTAATTGATTCTATTTATGTTTTCCAAACTTCCAAAATGACTTACATGGTCTGTTTGTGTGATATGTCTTTGTCCGGTTTGTTCCAGATACACATGTTGTGCTGGTTACATGCCCTGCAGTGGTAGGTGCGGAGAAAGTAAATGTCCTGAATTTTGCCTTTGCACCGAGGTATAGAAATTTTTACTTGTTTTCTTACATATTATAAATACCTGATATGGGTGAATGTTATTGTGGGTGTTTTCTGTGGTAGATTATCGTTATCCCTCCTTATGAGTCAGGTTTGTGCTGTGATGCCTTAGCGGTGGCATGATTTTAGCCCAATTCTATAATTCGATATAATGGGAAATAATAGTTGGCTACATAAAATATGGCTGGGTTAGGACTTAATGGAGGAAGGAAATGCACATGCAGGATTTTATGGTCAGCCTAGTAAATTTTTTCTAACAGTTTAGATTTGGCCTGTTACTGCTGTTATTATTGTTGTATTTGGAATAATGAATACTAAATATGATAAAAGCTGTTGATTCTTAATGGTGAAGGGTAAGGGGTGGGCTAAATGTTTAACCATAGAAGCATAATCTATTGATCTCTAATGGGAAGGTGGTGGCAGTGGGCACTAGGCAGATTTGAGATGCAGCCCTAGTAGCAAATGACGTAGCTGAAGATTCAAGGCTAAACAAGTTTATAGGTCGTCTAATTGGGAATTTTCAATTAAGCTGTTATAAACTTCTGACGGTAGGATAGATTCAAGGACCCATTATTTATTTATTGATTTGTTTTTAAATTATAGGGATCCAAAAGTTTCTTAATTGGATCCCTACAGATGGTGCTCCAAGGGTAAGGTAAGGAACCATTTAGGAATTTTTGGAACTCTAGGGACTCAATTACAAAGTTTTATAATATATGGATCTAACTGAAAATCTCCAAATAGTATAGGAACGTACAGATTAATTTATCCAAGATTTTAAACTGGATTTTAAGAAAGCTTGTGATCAATTCAATTGAGGATTTCTGAACAAGGTTGTAGATAGAAATGCAATTAGTTCAAGATGGAGAGAATATGGACTCAAGGGTGTCTTTTCACCAGTTTTTATGTCGTTGTTAATGATGAACTGAAGTCTTTGTTTCATGGTCAAAAAAGGACTTAGGATGGGAAATACCCTTTCCCCTGGTGGTGGATTTGCTGAGTAAGTTATTGATTTCATTCATTAAGTCATTAGTCCTGAGTCATTTATATTCGAACTTTCTTTCAATTTTAGGTTGTTGAGTTATCACATAGTTGAAAAGATGAAAATGTACTGAAAATATAATTAAATTCAAAAAGGTTGCTTTATTTAATTATTGGGTGTTAGAAAAGAGCATTTGAACTGTCATTTGAGTTGTTATTTACCATTAAATAAAGAGCATGCAGGATTCCTTTGATGCTGGTTTTCTTGGTCTCAAGAATTTTCTATGGTTATTTCATATAGCATTTTTTTTTCACATGTTAAATTTGTTATTTTGCATTATTGTTTCAGGTTTTCTGCTGCTTTGGTAATTCAGTGGCCTCAACTCGCTTTCTGTTGCAAGATGAATTTAACATTCAAACAACACAATGTGATAATTGCATTATTGTACTCTCTCTCTCCCTCCCCCTCTCCCTCTCTCACACACACTCAGAGACACTCATGCACGCGTGCACACAAGACACATTCACAGACATATACACATGCAAGTATTTTTTTTAATGATATTCTGTTAATTTATTTATAATTCTCTTGTTTAGGGTTTCATGTTTTGCCTCCAACAACTTGCATGCATATGCTCTATTATTGCCTTAATTGTGGGAAGTGATGAAATTCAAGAGGCTTCTCAGTTGCTATCTTGTTTGGCTGACTTTGTGTACTGCTCGTAAGGCTTCCTTTTCTCTCTCAAGGCCCTTCATTTATAGTGGAAGGCGTTGTACTAAGTCTATGTTTCTTTTTATTTGTAGGGTGTGTGCATGCATGCAGGTAAGTTTGTCAATTATTACTCAAAAATGGTTAATCATTGTATCGTTTACATGATAATTATTATTCAAATGAATTTTATTTGCAGACTCAGCACAAGGTTGAAATGGACAAGCGTGATGGAAAGTTTGGACCCCAACCAACAATGGCAGTGCCCCCTGTTCAGCAGATGTCGCGCATGGATCAGCCAGTTCCTCCTCAGGTTGGGTATGCACCACAACCAGCATATGGACAGCCCTATGGTTATCCACCCGCCCCACCGGCTTCTTATGGCTATCCTGCTCCTGGTTATCCCCCTGCTGCTGCTTACCCACCCGCTGCTGGTTACCCAACTGCTGCTTATCCTCCACCAGGATATCACCCTTCTGGCCCCAATTGATTGGTTCATTAATCAGTGTTTTCTTCAAGTTCGCACAATCGCCCCAATGACAGGCAGTCATACGTGTGTGATGAAATGCTACAGCTAGATTGATTGATTATTTTGCATTTGCCCCACAAGTTTTGTTTTCTGATACGAGATTATAATTCCAATCGTGTTGTCCATTCTGATACTTCGTCTTCTATTTGTATATTGGTCTTGTTGGTGTAGATATATAGTTTTCCCTTTTTTCGTTTGTTATGTGCAATGTGGGGTAATGTACTGTTCTAAATATTTCAAAACCCGTGATTCAATCATGTGTTATTGGCCACTTGAGCTGTTTGCCCACCAGTGCATGAAAGCCCGTGTCGACAGACTGGAATTATACGTGTCTCACAAAGATGTGTTTGATGGCACGGGGAAAAGGGGCAAGCCTTTTTAATGTTAGTTTGTTTTTGGAGTGACTAAGGAAGAAATAGTATGTTTATTTAATTTCAGACACCTTTTTCACTTTAGACAAGCTTATTTTGGTGATTAGTGGGGTTTTAGTTTAAATCCCTGTCCTAATCGTTTGGAACGGGTTTGCCCGTCCAAAGGTGATGTTTAGTGCAGAGATGTAGTGAAAATTATAAATTGTGGCTACCCTAATTAGAGAAATCTTTTTTGTGGACTATTAACATTGCTGTACAGAAATAATGATCATTTAGTTTGGTAAGTAATTCTACAGAAGCAAATGATAATTTTGTATAGATTGTCATTTTTACATGATAAAAATAAATCAATGATTATTTTATTTATTTTTGGACAAAATATTTGTCGTTATGTTTTTAATTTTTTGATTGTTGTAGTTCTTATTTATTTGTTTATGGGATTAATGTTTCTAGATGGGAATAATTTTATCTTTTGCATTCACATAAAAATGAAGATAAAGTTATCTCCATCTTGAAGAGAAATATTAATCCTTTTTTTATTTATGCATTTTGAATCTTACTTTTTTATCTATTTGTTTGTTTCTACTTTATATTCCCTTTAGTTTCAATCATTATTGATCAGAACAGGTTTTTACAACTGGGCCGATCATGTGATCTTTCTCTACACAAATGGCCTGGAATTTCTTTAGGTCAGAGCATCTTGCAGTTTGGAGCAGCTTTAACCCATGTGACTTCAATGGAACAAGAGGGGGGGTGTACCTGCAAGACACTCTGAAGCTCAAATCAGATTTGGTTCAAGCAGGTTTAATTATGTAGAAGAAGATGTGTACCTTTGTGTTAATATGTATGTATTTACAGTGGAGAGATGAGCAGCTTTGCAAGTGGTGAGACATACTTGGAGATGAAGTATTCAGAAGGATAAAGCTTTCAATGTTGAGAAGCTTGTTGTCTTGTGGTCTTTAAGATTGAGGAACTTGTTGTTATAGGCTTTTAATATTGTGCAGCTTGATGACTGTTATGAGCTTGGGGATAAAGATGAGATAGCAGTGACTAAAGGATTTGCTTAATGGTGAAGACTTTTAATTTGGGCCTTATATCTGTATAATATTTATCCAGATCAATTATATTAAATTATGACATGTTATGTTAGATTTCTTTTTTTCTATGATTCTCGGATCAATAACCGATTGACTCGTATTATTTAGTAAAATAATTTGTATAAAATTATAATATAGATAATATTACATGTAAGTGATAATTTGAAGGATTAAAAAAATGTGTTTACCGAAAAAAAATAAAATGTTAAATAAAAGATTAATGAGAGCAGCTGCTTGAGGAAGAGCTTAACGATGAATATAGGTAAAGTATCCGAAAGAAAAAGGATCGAGATTTTTTAAAAAAGTATGCATGATATCAACTATTAAAATTATTTTATTTCATAATTAAAAATAATATTAAGTATAATTAAAAAAAAAATTAAGCGGTTTGTTTTTTGGAATTTAGAGGATCGAAATTCAAAGAAAAATGTCTAAGCAAGTAGAACTTAATATATATATATATATATATATATATATATATATATATATATATATATATATATGGCTTAACGTTTCTCAAGCTGCTTGAGATAATTTTATCTCCGGCTACTAAATCATAATCGTACAAAGATTATATCAATGGTAATGAAGGAAGAGAGAGAAAAGGAAAATCATAATCATTCAAAGGTGAATCAATTAATATAAGAAAATAAATAAACAAAACAACGTAGTTTTGAGGTGGCCGGAGATAAACTTATCTCAAGTTGCAGGAAAAATATTTTTCCCATATATATATATATATATATGATAAATATTTCTACAGCCACTTTAGATAAAATTATCTGCATCTACTCAAAAACTACGTCGTTTTGATTAATGAAGAGTGTTTCTGTAATTTTAGGTGAATTAATCAAGGGTGTTTTCGTAATTTTGTTTATTTTTTATCATATACATTTTACTGAAACACCCTTCATTAATTCACTTAAAATTACAGAAATACCCTTCAATAATTGAAACGATGTAGTTTTGGGGATAACTGTAGTCAACCTTATCTGAAGTGACTGTAGAAATATTTTTTCATATATATATATTGGTTCGATCCACTTAATAATGTCTTAACCCTGAAGATACGGTGTACCATTCCTAAGCTTACTTTTCATTTCAATATATATATAATTTTATTTTTTTTGAAAACTATTCCAATATATTCAATCACGAGTAATGTGACATTATTTTTTTCTTAATTATAATATTTGGTGAAGGAAAAATTTGATTTAAAAAATCTTTAGAATTTGGAATAAGTTGTGAGTAATTTTACCTTGAGATATTGGCAATCTCAATATTTAATCACAATTTGTCATTCTATTTTAAGTTTTTAGCTAATTATGTTTTTTCTTTAAATTCTAAATATATTCACTAGTTATTTATTATTATTAATTATTGTGATGAGCCGTGGGATTTTATACTTCTAAGAACCTACCATCCATCTTTAATTGTGGACTTCGATATTAAGAGTGCAAAGATAACTGAGCTACAATACAACAAAATGGAACGCTAATTTGCTCTCAGAGAACTTGATAATAAAATGAAAATTAAATATTAAATAAAAAGTAAAATAACCGGGAATGAATTTGTTTTATGTTACAATTTCACATATCCCTAAATAAATATAAGAAAATCACTTTGTCATATTATAAGAATAAGAATGACACTGTTTCGTTCTTTAACAGGATCTGGTTCCGGATCCTGACTATTTTTTAAAATGTGAGTTTCACACTTGATTTGTGTGCGGGTAAAAAGCTATTGACATGTAACATGACAAAAAGCGAACCCATAAATATATATAATCGATAGATGTACCCACTACTCAGTGTTATGGTAATAACAAAGATATTCTTCCAAAAAGAAACTAACTCTAGAACCACATTTGGAGAACAAAATGATAGGAGAAAATTGAAGGGATTACATATAAATTAGGGGCGAAGAAGGGGAATGGTTGTCAACCCTTCAGGCTTCAACGTTACTAAGACACTATACAAATAATAATTAGTATAGTGGCGAATTTGAGAAGAGACCAGCAGCACCGGCCTTCTGATGCTGGTTTGAAGATTGAACCTTAACTTGTCAGCGAGTATCGCGCTTCAATGCGACAAAATATTCAGGAAATGAATGTGCCTGAGTTTGAGGACTGTGTATCCCTTTGTCAAAATTATTTTAATTCCTTATAAATCGTTTTCTCTCTGTGTCCCTCCCATCCAATTCATACAACTGACTCCTCATTTTTTATTTTTTAGGTTTCTTGTCATGATTCTAAATATAAGGGTGGGTGTTAAAAAATTAATGATCAGATTAATCGAATTTTTAATGAGAGGACTAATTTTTAAAATATCTATGTAATGATACGTCATTTGACATATTTTATCTCTCACAAATATAATTTGAATTTATAACAATGGTACCACAATCATAACAAATAATGACACTGGTTTCTTCTCCATCAACGCGCATAGGCAACAACGGATAAGAACATTTCTTCTTACGAAAAGTCCTAAAGTACTTATTTTGTTGCTGAAAAAATTATTGGCTTAGAGGCTAAACGCTCTTGTGATTGTGGAACTATTGTTGCAAATTTAAACTATTTCTATGGAAGATAAAATATGTCAAATGATGTGTCATTACATAGATTAGGGTTGGAAAAATGGGCCAACCCGACCCAACCCACGTTTAACACGAAAAAAACGAGTCGAGTTAGGGTTGGCTCGAAAAATAAACGAGCCAGAAAACTCAACCCGACCCGAGTCGGGTTAGGGTTGGCTCGCGGGTTGGCTCGAAAAAAAGAAAAAAAAGAAATAGAATTCCACTGATGCTGTAACTTCTAAATTTTTTTGCTAAATTATTAATTCATTCAATACAAAGACATTATACAGATAAACCATAGAAAATACCTTTTGCATTTGGACTTGGACTTATTGGCAGTTGGCACCCTATTCACACTGTCACACATACTATAAAAAAGATCCTTAATGCACGATTTTGGACTTATTGGCAGCTGCAGGGTATTTTCGTTTGGGTCTTTGGAATTGGAATTTTAGGTTTTAGCCTTCCACTTTACCTTCATTAATTTTTATACTTTTATATTTTTAAAAAAAACCATAACCCGCGAGCCAACCCGACCCGTGGGTTGGCTCGATTTTTTTCGAGCTGAAACGAGTCGGGCTGATTCGAGTTACTAACTCAATTTCCCTAACTCAACTCGACTACTTTTAGCCGGGTTACAAGCCAACCCGATCATTTTTTCCAAGCCTAACGTGGTGTTGAATACCCGAGTCAAAAGATATGGTCTTCTGAAGTTTTACGATAACGGGACTGCCTACGTGGTGTTGACATGGCATCAGTCCCGTTAGGATCATTGGCGGGACTAGTCCCGTCAGTACCAGTGATGTGTTTAACGATATTAGTTTGGAAAAACTTATCTGATTAACTTTAACTGAGCAATTCTTTTGCCCAATAGTCTTAGAAGAGTGCTTTTGCCGGTTAATGAGTAGTGATTTGGATACCAGAGTCAAAAGTTATATAAAATCTCAAAAAATATCTCAAAAAAATTGTATAAAATCAAAAGAAAAAATATCTGATTTGGATACCAGAGTCAAAAGTTATGGCCTTCCAAAGTATCACAGTAATGATACTGCCTACGGTAACAGGATTGTGCCATTTGGCACACCCTTATGAGTTCCCCAGTGGTGTCGCGACACTCACCTAAAGAAAAAAAGAAAGACGTGTGAGTTTTGCATGGGAAGGAGTGCGGGACTCAAACCCGTTGGGCCCGCGGAACTTGAAGACCCCCATTGGTAAAATATGTCAACCAGATACCAAATTGATTTTTGAATAGAGATGGAAGCATACGCCTTACCACACGGGATCATGTATCCGTGAAAATACAATATATATATATATATATATATATATATATATATATATATATATATATATATATATGTATATGGAGTTAACCCAATTCTAATTATCTTTTTGAAGCGAGTTGACTCTTTTGGTATTCCTACAAGCTTCGACTTTTTGAACCGACTACGAAACTAATTCAGAGTGCGAGACGAGTCAGAGATAAAGATATTTAAAGTCTTTACAAAGACGATATATGGATATATTACTTGCTTCTAACCATTCACACAACTAATATATTAGAATTATGTGGAAAGAGCATATGGATATACTATTTGCATCAAACGATACTTTAGACGCACGCTTACTAAGACTTTTTTCCCCCCACCAAACACTAACAGATAGGAACTTGGAAAAAAAAAAGCAATTAAAAAAATATTTAATGAGCATGTAATTGTTGACGGGAGAGAATCATGAAGACATCGAGTATACACATCTAGAATCATCTCACGGAGAAAGTCACTTGGCGGCAGGATTAAATTCCATTATAAATTGAAGGAGACTCCCTCAATGTTAGGAACCATCTCACGGAGGACAATGACAACAGGCCTGAACATAACCTGGTGAGAAGAATTAAGGCATGAAATCAGACGGAGTGGACGGTCAAATATCTTCATGCTCACAGGAAAAGAATAATTGCGCAGATTGGTCGGCAAAAAAAGCTCTTTCCATTGATGGCATATGTGTCTACCTCAAACCTTGATAGCCTTGCTGAATGAAGACGATAGGAGGGCCTTTGGCTCTGAATTTTCTGTGTAATTGTTTTGTTTTTGGGGTATAGCCCCTCTTTATTTACTTTAACAAAAAAAAAAACAAAAATTCCATTATAAATTAAGTGAGTATCTATAATTACAAAATATTCTTCAAAATCGGTGAGCAGAGATTGAAGATTTACACAATGTAATTTGATGGGAATTTGGTTAAACAGATCCATAATTCTAAAGAATACGATGGGAAAGTGAATTTCTCATTAACGTTACTAAATAGTTATTTGGTATACCCTTTTTTATTTTTGGTTTTTCATTTTAGTCTATGTTTTTTCATTAATAGCCTATATTTGTTTATTAAATCAGAACTCTTTTATTTTCAAGCAATTTAATTTTCTATTCTATTCTATTTTTTTTAATTTATATTTACTTTTGTTTAATTATATATACATATTACATTTTTCAATTTTAATAATTTTCCCATTTAATCTATACTTTTTGAAATTGTAACTAAATTGAAAGCATGTTCTTCGCTAGTGAATGATAAACTTATGTCATGTTTAATTTACGCAATGACGATTCTGTAAAATCAAAATGAAATAAAAATAAAATGGAATGAAGTGAAATGAAATAAACACTTTCAATCCAAGTCATTCTATTAATTAATATATGAAATTATTCCGAAATTTAATAAAGTAATATTTTTATATTATGTTTGTGAAAAACTAAATAAAAAATCATTTTTAATATTATTATTTTACCTATTTATTCATTTATCATTATTATTACCATAACTTTCACCTTTTATAATTTTCATATAATTTTTGCTTTCAATATTGCATGATGATGGCCACCCAGACAGATATTCTCAGGCATCAGATAATATTCTTCTTAATTGTATATTGTTTTAACATATCTAAATGAAGAATTACGTGTATCTGAATAATTTAAATTTTAAATAAATTAGACATTTATAAGTATATAACTTAATAGATTATGTTTATTTATATTTAAAAAATATATGATCTTTTAAAATAAAGTCAAGACAACAAATTTAAATTAAATTTTATGAAGTCGCTATCCCATATTTTAGGAAGGGATAATAATCTTTAATTAGATAAAATGAAACATAAAATAAAATTGCCATTTTATTAATTTGTTGTTTTTATTTAAAAAAATGAGAATACTTATTCCGTGTGTAATTAAAGCTCAGCATGGAAACGTCAAGTTAAAGGAAATTAGTTGTATAGCTTACCAAAAAACAAAAAGGAAACTAGTTGTAAGCAAAATCCTATTTCAAAGAACCAAAGGGAAAATTATCCCCCATATCATGTGCCAACTAATACATAACTAACACCACCTAGCATCATCAAACCACGAAAGAGCTCCCCACAGAACACATTTTCTGCATTTTATAGGAGTATCTATTGGCTTTTTCACCATTTTGTTCCTTATTAATTAATTAATAACCATTTTGTCCCTGATTTAAAACTATCTATGAATCTGTCTCTCTTTAATCGACTACCTTGCATTTTTAATCGACTAAATGGCCAACACAGACAAAAAATGGCTGTTGGGAGATTTAGTCGACTAAATCTCCCTATTTAGTCGACTAAATCTCCATATTTGACAAAAAAAAAATAAGTCAGTATGATTTTAATCGATTAAGTAGGGAGATTTAGTCGATTAAATCTCCCAACAACCATTTAGTCGATTAAACATGCAAAGTAGTCGATTAAAGAGGGGCAGATTGATAAATAGTTTCGAATCAGGGGCAAAATAATTATTAATTAATTAATGAGGAGCAAAATGGTCAAATAGTCAGTATCTATTCCCTTACAAAAACAGAAAAATAAATAAAACATGAATACAAATAATCATAAAAGTAAAAATAGTATAAATAAATTACTTTTTATCATATTTAATAAAAAATATATATCCAATGTTTTGTGCCCCTGAAAATATTTTCATCCCTTCTTTTGCTTCTTTTTTTTTTCCCTCATTTATCGTTATCATAATCATTAATTACTTGCAGTTACACCAATATCACTCTACGCTTTTTTATATATATATATATATCAATTCTAATTATTTTTTTTGAGATGAGGAATTTTTCTCGATATTCTTATAAATTTTAACTCTTTAAACTAACTATATGATTAATTTTGAGTGCAAGATGGATTAAAAATTGAAGTTTTATACCTCTTTATTGGCAGAGATGGAATATAGGTAAAAGCAGCCTACCATTGCCATACTCCTACGTTACCTCCACTTGGAAATGTTCAAAGAAAATAAATAAATAAAGAGCTTATATGACTCATAATATGTCGAATCTGTGATGCAGTGCTACTCAGTTTTTTGACGTCCCAATCCATCCAAGCACCAAGATGCCAAGAGCTCAAAACTAAAACCAAGTTCATGTATACTCATTGAACTTTCCATTCAAGATTGCTTGCAAATCCGAAATGGAGTATGATAAATCAATAATGCCACGCGTCCATTCTTTCATTCATAAACTTTCGTTAATAACTGATTCGTGATGAATAGCGTTATTTATTCATCTGGAATTGTTAAATAAATACTTCAAAACCAAAACAAAAACTGAATATTTCCAACAAAAGAAACAAAACTAAAAATAAAACATTGAGATAGCTAGTTAAAACTCAGAACAACCAGATCCCAGTTCTAAAAAATACATCTAAATAAAATTGATATACAACTAAAGTCCCAGCTTTCCATGAGCTCTGTATATATACACATTCACAAAAAAAAATATTAAAAAAAAAAAAAAAAACTAACATCTCTTTCCTTTTTTTCCCAGATAAGAAAATTAAGGTATTAGAATAGAAGCAAGCTATAAAGAACCAACATGAGGGTAATCAGAGTAAAATTCAGGGATCCCAGAAGCAGCCCAGAGTCTCTCGTTGAAGGAACCTTGCAAATCATCTGGTATGAAGGGTGTTCGGCACAGGGGGCACGTTCTCTGATCGTACCCCATCCAACGGTCCAGGCATCCTCGGTGGAATATGTGTCGACAGTTCGCCAGCCGTCTGATCTCATCGTTTTCGTCGAACTCGCTCAGACACACCGCGCAGCTCTCGGGTGGGTCCACCAGTTCCCGGAACTTCACCACCGGCAGGATTTCCCGGATCAGGAGAGCCGACACCGATTCGAATTCGGGTATCCGGGTGGAAGCGTCGGGCCAGGCAATGTCGGGTTCGAGGAAATCGTGGAGACCCAGATAGCGGAACAGGGTGCAGATCAGTTTTCTGATGAAACCCAAAACAGAGAGCAAGTTCAGAAACAGCTTCGGAAAGAGAACCTCTGTATACCCCACTGGAAATCCCATGTCTTGCACACTCACACACTTCACACTTCTTTGTGAATAGAAAGAAAGAGAGAAAGCGAGAGAGTAAGCAACACCAGCTTGGGTTAATATATAGAAGACAACAAACAGTTTCTTCAGAGTTGAGACTTTGATGTGGAAATGCCAACAATGGGCTTTGCCTTTATGGAGATCTGATGACACTACCACTGTAGCTTCCTCGCTCCTGCAATTGCAAGTTCCACAATTTAATTAATATAAAATTAATTATTTACTAATAAAATAAAGACCTGTAGATTGTCCTTTATATTTCGCCTTTTAACGACTAATTCATTTTTTTCTGTATTGATTTTATTAGAAGATTTTTAGCCTTTTTAATACTTTTTTTTTTTTTGGATACAAATAATTATTTATATTTCTTATCAAAAGTGAAGATCACTTACGTACTATAGTCATTATTGATGTGTTAGTAATAAATTTAATGTAATTAGATAATTGATTACAGACCCAAAATACAACACAGTTAAAGAATTAATTACTACATTAATTTTTCATTGGTGAAGAAGTAGTAATTGGAGCTGATCAAGTGATAGTGATTAAAATTTAAAACTGACTTCTAACGCATCACACCATCAAATAATGATAAGAAAATGCACATAACATAATTCATGATGATGGGGAGATTTTCTTCAAAGAAGAAACTAATTGCTGGTACTTGACTCATCCCCTGAGCATTGTTTAAACCGTACGCATGCGCGAAAAGCGCAACATTTGAAACTTGGATTGGTAAAACTACAGGAATCAGGCGAGACGTTCCATTTTGTATTATGAGCATTTGCTGTTGGAGTGGAACATATCAACCAACAACAGGTTCTTCTACGGCTTGGATTGTTTCTTTGGTCACTTTGATATTAGGTGTGTTGTTGTACTTACAATTTCTTCTTGACCTTGTCAATTGTGGCTGGTCCTTACAATTTAATTTCTAAATATAGCCAGACCATATGAGCATGTAACAACAAATTATGTCAATAAGAGTTACTATTTTTTTTTTTCTTTTCTCGTTTCTACACTACCTTTCCTTTGTTGTTAGGGAAGAAGCTTTGAATGCAGAGATTTCTTTATAAAATGTGCCATGACTATACATCAGAGTGAGGATAAGTGGTTCCACCAATCATCCCCACTGGAAGCCCACTAAATTAAAGAAGCTAGACAGCGGCACTGATGAAGCAGCAAGAAACCAAAGATGGTGTTGGTGTGACTTTTAACACAATCACCATTCACGGAGTTGTTGTCCCATCTCGATTGGCGCGCTTCACTAACATATAATTCGGGTAAGCTTAATTTTAGAACATTTTCTTGAATTTTATCCTCTCTCTCTCTCTCTCCAGATGAGACTTTCATCTGACAAGACATAAAAAGGAAATAAAATAAAATAAAATACGGTCCCTAACCACTTTATCCTTTTCTTGCACTGTCAAATGTGGATATCAAAAATATTATTGGAGATTTTGGGTTTTATGGAGAAAACCATTTAATAATGCTCACAAAAAAACTATTTAATGAAATAACAAATGTTATTCGAAAATGTTATATTTTCAAATTTTTATTTATAAATTTTTATAAATTTAATTATGTATTTTTGGAAATAAATTTAGTTAGTAATGCATTCTCGAAAATACATAATGTAGTTAATCAATAAATTTTTTATAAATATAGCTTATGTTATTTATACTTTATTATTATTTTAATAATAAAATAAAATAATACTCTTCTTTATATTTTTACTTTTTATTATGTAAGTAACAAATTTTTTAGGGTTCGCTTTTTTTAAAGTGAATGTAGATAGTTTATTTATATTGAGCTCAAAACGATGTCGTTTTGAGACGAAAATTAAGGTATTTTTATAATTATAATTTATTCCAGAATTATAATAGTCATTTTTATTATAATTTTTTAATCAATACAACGTCATTTTAAAAATAAATGTAAATAATTTATTTACATTCACTTTATAAACGAATTTTTTAACGAGATACCCTTGGGAGGTGGGACTGCATGCAATTCAATAGCATCCAATAATTAAAGCAAGCTAGGAGGGGGTCCACGACTTGAGTCTCAGTGTCTCACTTTTTTTTTGTTTTTTTAATAAAAATTTAGGTAAGATTAAATACCGATATTCCACCAAAATTAAAATAAATCTCTAGTTTCTTTGAAAATTTGTGAGCAAAATTATAAAAATCCCAACAACAAAATCCTCATGATTTGAACCTACGTCCATAAAAAATATATGAACATAATCCTTAACTGTGCGCGTCCTTATTAACACTTCAGCTCATAACAATATGCGTCAAAACATGTTTCGAAATCATAAAGAGCGTTGAAATTGAGGCACAAACATCATTGATGGCGAGAAGTCCATCTCTGAGCCACAGCTGTGAAACCCGTGAAAGCAGTAATAATGTTGGCCTTTGGGTGTCAGGGCAGGGCAGGGGTTAGCTGAGTGAACAAAATTCATGAAACCTTGATTCTGAAAGGCTGAGATCTTCCGGGACAGAGGCGGGTTATTCCTCTTTTGAGAAATGAATTTTTGTACCATCTCAATATCTCTATTTTAGAAGAAAAATAGTTTTTCGAGGTTAACATTATTTTTATTTTAAAAAATATTAGCTTTGTTTAATTAAAGGGTTTTATATTTATCATTCAATATGAGAATTGAATTCTCATATTTAGAGACAAAAAGTATGTGGGACCCGTATGTTAGAAAAAATTAAGTGTAGAACTTACGTTGACACGAAAATCAAAGTGTGTGTAGGAAAATTCAAATTCTCATGTTAAATGATAATTATAAAACCCTTAATTAAATTAGTTTCCCACTTCATTAATATTCTTGTATTTTACTTAATAAAAGTATTAGGATATTAAACAATTTAAAATAATAAAAGTATTAGGATATTAAACAATTTAAAATAATCAAATTATTTTTCGGCATAATTTATTTTTTTAAAATGAGTGTAATAGTTTTATATAATAATAAAAAAAAGTATTCACCTGAAGATAAATTTAATAATCAAAATAGGATAATGCTAAACGTTTTGAAATTTGTATAAAAATATTTGGAAGTGTTGTAATAGAAAAGTTTTATCGTCAATAACTCAATATAAATTCCGTATTTGTACTATGGTTTGTTGAATCACTACTAGAAAAATCTTATATAGCGAGAGAATTGCTATTTCAAATTTCGTCGCCAATTTCATCCTCGCTACTACTTTTCCTCGCAAAATTGTTTGCGAGGGAATTTGCAAGGGAAAGTAGTAACGATGATGAAATTAACGACGAAATTTTCATAGCAATTCCCTCGCTATGCAGGATTTTTCTAGTAGTGAATGTAGCCCAAATATATTGGTTTATTAATTTAGTATGATAATTGAAATATACTGTCTCTGTTGAATGTAACCTTGGTTGAATTCCACCTCTTCTTTGTGTTGGATAGACTATCTGCTTTCATTTTTAATAATGTAATTCTATCTTCCTTTCAAAAAATAAATATAATAATAAATATAGTATACAAATAACAATATTGGTTTTATTAAATATTACCATATTCGGATATTCCTATCATCAACAAAAATTAATTAATAGATACGATTGAAAGCAAACAAACAAAAATTATTTATTCATTTTATTCGAAATAATATTTTTTAATATTTGATTGATATGTACTACCCCATTTTTTTAAAAAATAAAATAAAATTCTTGAAACGTTTATCAGCTTAAATTATAAAGCATGCTACTAAGTTACCCATGTGTACACTGGTATGTAGGATATTTGATAGGAAATATAGAAATTTCTGAATATTTTATAATTTGACTCTATTAAAAAAGTATAATATAAAATTATTAATATAACAACATCTAATAGTTTAAGTTTTTGAACTGAAATAATTCTTTACTTAGTATCAGAGTCTCTGTGACTAATTGATAACGAAATTTCTTATGTGAAGAGACGTGTTAGAAAAATAGAATAAAAATTTATTAATGTAACTTCAACTTTTTTGGTTTAAATAGTTGCTTAGAAATACTAAACTATATTTCATATACTAGTGTTTTAAAAAATGTTTATATCCATAACAAAGTCATAATTAAAAATTGAAATCAAAAGGCGGCAATCCTTGACATTGGGATTATATTAATAAAAGAATTTAGCTTATTTTAGTTCTAATAATCTCTAGTTGATTTCACTATAATTAACACGGTAGAGACTGCAGAAAGAATGGGGCTGAAAATATTTGAAGTTTTGAACCATGACAAAAAGAGTGGTCAGCCACACTAGTCGACATGGGGCGGTTCTATAAACGGGTGCATTGCGTTAGGCCACCACCACCCACCAGCAATATGCAAAAGGCTCTATTGCTAATATGCTCTGACACGGTGTCTGATGCGGCCAAGACAACTAATGGTCCATTCCCATATATATTGTTCCTGAATCACTAAGTTATTCGTGGTCCACTTTTCACAAGTACCTATATATATATATATATATATATATATAGCATTCTTGTTTCCCTTTGTCTCATACTTTGTCTAGCTTCCATGACTGGAGTCCCTAACTCCCTATCCAAACCCCATAAGATTACATTACACCTTCAATTTCTTCTCTTATCTTTTCTTTGTTTTTGAATTATAAATTTATATATTGCTGAATTACTTTTATACATTCTGAATTCGATGCTTACAATTTGGGCGAAATATTTATTATAGTAGTTTTCCATATTCCATTGTAGCAGTTTAATTAATCAGAAGAAAATTCCGGTCATGCCCTCTATCATTTGGCGGATAAGATTAACAGGTCATTAGGCCAGCTAAATCCAACCATGATAACTTCGCTTTAGGACCTAATTACCAATGTTTAGTCCTCTGCTTCCCACTCGCGTTATTGTTATTATTTTCTTTTGTTTGATTCTAACCGTTGATGAATGCTAATTAAGTCAATTTGGCCATTCTTATAACTTAAAAAAAGGTCTTGT